ATCAACTAATAATTAATATGCCGCATCCTCTATATTTTATGTAGTTGACCGAGAACTCGTTATTTGTTTTGTTCGAAACAATTTTATCCCTTTTATATATAAAAGCACGCCCGCACTGATGCATATGGATCCTTTCATAATTTTTATATGCACTATGAATCCATTCCTTGATATCTGCCAGTGAGTCGAGGTGTCCATTTGTTCTTATTTTAATATTCAAGTTCCCTTCTCTCTCTCTTCTTGTTTTTTTTTCACTGCTTGCGTTGTAAGTTGTTGCTGTCATTTTGCTGCCGACTAGTTGTTGGCTGTTTTCGTTTCTGAGTGAGTGGTGGCAAAAAAACTGGAAGACAAGCGGCCGTGAATCATAAAAACAAGAAGTGGTGTGACAGTAGAGAGGAGGTGAGAGGTACTAGTGGGCGCACGAGTCGCTTTAATCGACAATGAAAGCTGGAAAATGCTGTGCACTTCATTTCCAGCGTCAGTACAGGAAGTACATTCCCATATTTACGCAACATGTGTTTTGGCAATTTGCGATGCCATCCATTATTGTTCATCATTCATTGCCTTCGGTACTTTTTCGATCCAAGTTGGGAGTAATAATGAATTCACATTTCACACCCTGACTTGTGTGGATTGGCAGGAGGAAAACATGCAACTAAAGAGGCAGAAGACAGATGGCGGTGATGATTACGAGTGGACAGATTACATGTCGCTGCCATTCACCCAGCATGTGAGTCTCTCTCTAGAGTTAAACACGCATGTTTTTCGATATGCACTCAATGATTGTGCCTATGAATAATGGATCCCATTCCCATCATAATAAGGTGATTAGCGAAACTCTGAGGCTGGCCAATATAGTGAATGCCATCTGGAGAAGAGCAACCAAAGATGTAGAAATTAAAGGTGAGTCATGTACATACATATATGTATATAGCAAGGTTAATTGAAGGCAAGTGTGTGTGTGTGAACTGTGAAGTGGGTGTTGAATTGTTGATATAATTCATCAGGGTACATAATCCCAAAGGGGATTGTGTGGTGGCATCCCTAATGTCGGTTCACATGGACGGGACGATCTATGAAAAGCCCTTGGAATTCAATCCCTGGAGATGGGAGGTATGTAAGTAACAAGAGCTAGGCAGGCTGCCAGATGATATATGTACTATAATTAAAGTGGCGATGAAGCGTGTGTGTGTGTGTTTTATATAGGAGCAGAGAATGGAAGGGAGCGGCGGGAACAGCAAGGGGGTGGTACAGTCCGTTCGGAGGAGGGCAGAGGCTGTGCCCGGGCTGGAAGTGTCGAGTCGAGGCTGGAGCTGTCCATATTTCTGCACCATCTGGTCACCACCTACACCTGGCATGCCCACCCTGACCACATCCTCTACTTCCCCACCGTCAAGATGAGCAAAAGCTGCCCCTTACTGTTCGACCCCTCTAATGACCACTCCTCACACACTACTGTACAGCGCACACGCACACACACCAGAGGGGCTGGAGTTTTTCGTGTATAATTGGGGCGGCTACGTTAGGCACAGCGTCACATCCACCCCATAAGTAATAATTCACCTTCAACCACTCTCTCCTCAATTCTCTCCTCTCCATTATTATGTCTAATAATACTCCATTCTCTGTATCTATCCATATCTGCGTTCCATCAATATATACTTGCATGTCATCCCGTGCGTGCATCTGCCCCTTCTACTGCCTCCCATTCTCCGCTTTTTAAGCTCCCTCGCTCCTTTCTCAGCTGTATTTATTGAGTGTCAGCCTGCACACTTTATATCATATAAATCCGCATATAATAAATACTAGAAGGGGAAATGTTGATAACATGTGAGCTTTACCATAGGCCTCCTTGTGAGCCGTCAATTCAATCCCAGAGCATAATATAATAAAGACATTGTAGAATTTGCCACTGCTTACTATCACTCATTTTCTTTTGTATTATGATTCTTCTGGGTAATTTCATGGGCGTGAAATTCATGTGAACAAAACCTGGAAGTATTTTGATCCAGATAATCATTTTTCCTTCATTCATTACATCAAATCAACGCTCAGGATCATGCATGGAGATGGGCATTGAGAGAAAATAAGGGGACAATTTAATTCTTACGTGTCATCCTTTCTCTATATGTTTGAACCTATACATGGAGATTATTCAAATTATAATTTCCTGTCCCTTTTTAAAAATTGACACGATCATGAGTATCCAGTTATTAGTGCAAATATGATATCAACATATTTGCGCGGCAAGAGACTTGTGAGATACTCCTCCGGTCCTAATTATAAGACCCAATTGACTTATTTGAGGAGATTAAGGAAGTAAGTTAAGTTGGTTATTTATAATAAATAAGTGTTGTTATTCCTAAAATATTCTTGCTAATTAAGTATATTGGCTAAAACTATCATTATTAGAAGGATTATCTTGGAAAAAAATGCATAAATATAAGAGAGAAAATGGATTGGGTCTTATAATTAGGACCAAATAAAAAGTCAAATTGGGTCTTATAATAAGGACCGGAGGAGTAGAAAGTTAATCTTTGTTTTTCTTGAGTTTATTCCCTAAATTAAATAACGTTTTAATTGTGCCAAAAATTAGTCTTCATTCTCATATAAATATAATATACGAGGAATAGACTCACCTAAAACGTAAGGGATAGATGAAAAATGCTGGTGAACAAGAATTGAATTTAATAGTGTCAAGAATTTTAATTTAATAATGTTATACTCTTTGCTTGCGTTTTCCAAAATGCCCTGGGTGGGTTGAGGCCGCGATCCCCATGAGAAGCTTGGGCCTCAGCACCCAAAACTTTCTCGGAAGCCCATTTACTGCGTTCCTAATCTCACTGGCTTTTACACGTGTCAACCGGCGCGCCCTGACCTCCACATCCTGAAATGAATACGTATTTGTTCACATTGAATTATTTATTGGCTTGTTAAAATTATGTGTTTAATTTTACCGTTTCTCTTCAAACAGGATGGCCTCAGAACATCAAAGCTTAAGCCGATGCCCCGACCAATCCAGCAGCTGGTCTAAATAGCAGCTTCTATGAAATTTGTTTCATTGCAAGTTTGCCAACCAACGTCCTTCACCTCTCGCCAGCACCACCACTGCACACCGCTCACAATGACTCCTCCCTCCCCTTGCCTCTATAAGTTCTACTTTTTTTTTTTTGGCCTAATTTAAGAAAGTTATTCCACAATAATTATTTCTCATAAGTTGTTCAAATTACCCCCAAGTAATAGTTGCTCATGAGAAGAATTTGCTTAATTAATTAGAAAATTAGTTAGGAAAAAAATTAATACTTTAATGTCCGCAATTTCTATATGCAATTATACCCTGCAGCATGGGGACACAGGATTGGTCATTGTTGGTGGGAGGATGGAAATGAAGCCACATGCATATTTCATTGTCCTTTTTTCTTTTCTTTTTTTTTTTACTTAGATTATATTTATTTGCCATGTACGTGCCCTTATTATATCCTTCTTCCGGTTTTTAATATAAGAGTTCGTTTGACTTTTATTTTGATCCTAAATATAAAATCTCAATCCACTTTGTCTCTCATATTTTTCTATTTTTTCAATACAGTTCTTGTAATAATAGTAGTTCTAGCCAATATACTTGATTAGCAAAGATACTACATCATGTCCTTAATATAAGAGTTAGTTTGACTTTTAATTTGATCATAAATATAAGATTCCAATTTACTTTATCTTTTATATTTATTTATTTTTTTCAAAGTAGTCCTTGTAGTAGTTGTGCATGTTAAAGATTTAATAAAATAATAGTTTTAGCTAATACATATATTAACAAGAGTATTCTAAAAAAGACAACACCCATTTATTACAAATAATTAACATTAATTTTCTTTATCCATTTAAATTAGTCAACTAGGTCTTACATTAAGTATCGGAGTTAAAAGTTTTATCTTTTCTGAAGTTAACAACTGTTTATTGTTGCGTGCTAATTTTACGCTATTTACTCACAGTGATGCTGGATAGGGACTTCCTGAAAAAATCGGTTGATCAAGTATGATGCCAATGTGGATTTCTTGCTAATTTTTAATTACACAAGTTTCTGTTTTCACTTTAGCCAGACTTCAAAAATCTGACAGGTATGCACGCTGGAGCTGGTTTTAATATCTTATGAGTTCCCTAATCACACTCGGAAAAATCTTTTTTTTTTTCTGATTAGTTTTGGAATCAAAATTCAAACTAGTTCAGACAAAATCCTGCAGAAAAGTTAGGTACCGTTTGATTATTTTCCATTTTGACCAAACTTTCTTTATTTCGGTATTTTGAGTCAGAAATAAACCAATTAGCATTGCCTTTCAATCTTCATTTCATTTGTTTATAATTTACTGTCTCGGTTAGTGAATCTAACTTTCAGTATGACTTCTTTCCATTGCTTTCTAAGCAGATTGTTATGCCACTTTCAGATATTATATGGATCCTCTTGAAGAATTGGGAATGGGAGCAAAATATGCAGATCAGCTTCAAGGAAGTGCTACTGAAAAGGAGGTATACACATATGGCTTGAGCATGCAAAACTGTGCGAGTTTTCTCTCATTATCAGGTTGGCATACTAACAGCAGGGGATCTATTGCCTATTGATGTAAAACAACAAGAAGTAACGGGGACGGGATTAGGGAAGGAAGAGACCAGAGAAAATAGGAAATAGAAGAGAGAAAACCCTGACAGAAAAGTAATTGCAATCTCATTCAATATTCAAGGCTAGTCTCATCTAATGCAGACTCTGAAGTTACTTGTACTAGAATAATAATGAAATGAAAATAATACTAACAACTAATTCTAATAATGAAAAATACTAAAATACCGATAAATCCCATATTTCATCACATATTTTCTTGTGTTTTTCTGTTTTGCTCATTAAGAATTTCTCTTTCTACTTAAAAACCCGTATCAGGTAGGTATAACGTCTCTGTCTATGCAAATGTGGAGAAATATGATACTTTTCTCTATTTGTTGTCTTCTGCAGCATTCCGAGAACTTTGAAACTGTGGATTTGCGGCATTTTTCATTCTATGCATTTGCCGGTAGACCTGGTGCAGAACAATGGAGTAGAAAAAATGAGGTCTGTCCATTTTTATCATAGAATAAAATTTGATTAAGAAGTACAAATTCAGAGGATGGAACTGTGGCAAATCCTTGTATTATAATGAAACAGAACTGCAATACTTCAGTACAAAAGAGAATTGGCTATGGAAATATTGAATATGGCAGATTACAGTGACAACACTGTGCTGAGATGAGAAAATAGCAGAAAATATAGAAGAGACCTTTAGCATTTAAGAGGTTACAGCCTCTTTACTAAGAAGCAGCCTCCTTCCTGCCCTTCCAACACATAGTCCACGCCTAATTTAGTACCCTCAACAGCCCCTCCTTGTCAAAACATCCCCCTCACGCATCATGTGACTAGTTACAGGGAATACCCTACCTCCAGCTCTTTATCTCTTTTGGGGGTGGCTTCCTACCCCAATTGTCTCTCTTTCTCCCCTCATAAGCACTCCTTAGGTTCATTAACATTGAGTCGATTAGAGGATAAGATATCCTCCAAATTGGAATTCAAAGACAGTGACAAACAGTAAAGCGTAGGACTTCAAATTAAATATGCACTATGCTGCAAAGCAGTCCAATCTCTTTGTGAATCTGTTGTAGCACTGATAGGATCCAAATTTGGTAGAGCAAAATAAGGAAGAAAAATCATTATAAAATTATGAGATCAGAGCCTAATGTCACAAATTAATAAAGATGAAGGAAAATCTTCATTAGAATGAGTAAGAATCTTAACTCATAACTGATAAAACCTTGGAAGAATCTCTACTCGTAAAACAAATACTGATTATATTTGTGGATGAGATTTACATGTATTGAGCCTCAATATTTATAGACAACAAAATAACCATGACTCCCTAAAATATATGCCCATTAACACATGACTTGGGAAAATAACAGACTTGAACATGTTTAATAAAAACATTTAAAATAAAATACTTTGACTCAGTAAATAATCCTAACAAACCCTACTTGCTGCGGCACTAAACTAACCACTATTAAACCCATTAAAATAAAATAAAATCAGATTAATTCAATTCCACCAATTCACTGCACGTTGGGTACTCTATCAAGCACCCTTATAAGAAAAGCAGAATATCAAACTGATGACATGAAGATCATCTTCAAAGTCGTAGAAACATCACTGAGGACTCAAGAATTCCTCTCCAATCAATTACATCATTAAACTGCATAAATTGCACATTGCCAGTGCATTAGCCTCCTCTTTCCTTCAAACCCTGTAAATCTTGTTGTAAGAAAGCAATTAACCCATGCACATAAAACACGTGTGATTAATTTTGGCTAGTGTGCCATTTCTTTTGGCCTTGAACTTGCCCCATTGTCAAATATCATCATGGTGCTCCATTCAAACTGAATTGCTTTTTCCCCTAAGAATACTTATTCTCTATGCATATTTCATTAACCTCTATTGTTACATGCCACCCTTTCCTTCCACGCCTTACCTCAGCCTTAGTCTCCATCTGTGTCATTGCATTTTATTTGCATCTCTCTCTCTCTCTGTAACAAATATGTGGCAACTCCCTTTGATGTCGATTGATGGGTACTCTCAAGTGAGATAGGGAACCCTACTCGAAAGGTGTTAAGGTAGGAGAACCGATCCAATTGAATACTCTGTGGAACTTAAGCATCTCATGATACTTAAGTTTCCATCAATTAGTGAGGGTTATCATGATAAATGTCGTGAGTTAACATGTTGGAGAAGTTTTGCTGAATGTGTCACTGATGTTTGTTAGACATTTATTTGGTTAATTCATACTGTCTAGTGTCTAGCAATTTCTTTATTCATTTATTTTTTCTAATTACTATTGTTCTCTTTTGGTTGTTCAGAACATTGAGGCACGCTCTTCTGATGAATCATAGTTACTTCCACAGCATAACTATAAGCTTGATGTTCATGCTCTGAATACTCGTCATCCTGGAGAGGTATTCACACTGCAGCTGTCAAGTTAAGCATTGCAGTGTTAAATCTCTGCCCTGTATCCTATAGTCATAGTAAAGAAGGATGAGAAGATAAAGATACTAATTATTTTGTCACTTAAAACCATCATATTATTTGGCACAATTGTAATTTGTAAATTAAACATTCTGGAGTAATTTAGCAAGAGTCGTTAGTTTTGATGTACTTATTTTTGTTTCCTATACATAATTACTTGGTTAGTGATTATCTCTACCCCTTTTCTGATAAACTAATATTTATGAGTTTTGAGCTGAGAGAGCTTTAGTGAGTTTTGCCTATCGGTTCAATACCATATAGTTATGTCTTCATGTTGTTATAGTTCCTTACTACCTTTTTGTTTGGATCTTTGTCAATATTTTTATGTTACTGGAAATATATGGTTTTGCTTCAATAGGTCTTCTCTCTATTTGTGCATGGGTCTCACAAGAAGATAGAATCCTCTGAAGTATTAAATTTTAGTTTGAATGTAGGGAATTCAGAGGATCAATATGGGGGCTTATGCCTCACCACTGGGTATGATACAGTTTTTAACAGTCTAACACTATACGTATGTTGATCTTAGACACCATAGAAATTTTACTTTGTGTAAATTTCTTTTTCAGGAAAGGAAAGAAGATACATTGTTGAAGCTGGCACACGTCGGGCCACACGGGAGGAAAACATTGAAGAGATCAACTGGAAGGACAATTAGTCACCCTTCTCATAATTAAGCCTGAGGAGAACCCTCGTCCAGGCAAGGACTCAAACCAAAAAATTTACACACATGATTGGGAAAGCAGCAACAAATTATGGCGGTTCAGTAAAGCTTAAGTAGTTTAAGTTTACGAACTACGCAATGCTAATTTTAAACTTGTGGGTTATATTTAAGAGAACATGATTAGATGAAGTTCTTTTAGGTGTTTGTTATCAGGTTCCCTAACACATGGATATTTCACACTTAATCCCTTATAGATTGAAAAACCTGATAACTATCATGCTTGAAGATCCCCCCCCCCCCCCCAATTTGATATTGTCGAAATACTTGGACTTTTTCACATAAAGATAGTTGTTTGTCAAGATGACTAGGAGAAATCCAGAACTTCAAAAGTTCTATTCCAACACAATTTTATGCTGCTTGAGGTTCTTTCCAGACCTATTTTACTAGAAGCTTTTGTCAAGATTAACTAGGGATGAATATGCCAGTATGCATGCTAAGAGCAGCATATTTAGTCTTTGTTTCATGTGATTTAGATTTAAGAGCTGATATTCATTTACATCAATTTTTTTTCCCTTTCTTCTCTTTTTCTTCAGGCGGAGAACCATGAGCCTTCCTAACACACACACACACTGACACACACACAGAGATTATCTCAAAAGTACCCATCTGGACCTCAGACAAGAAACCTTGTTGAATAAAATTATGATCAGAACACCCCCCCCCAAAAAAAAAAAAAGCTAGAAAATATCCAATCCCAAAGAAGATTCGGTTAGAACTTGCTGATGGAAATTCTTGCCTGTAACCAGATGCACCACCAGTCTACTAAAAGATCGTCGCTTCTGAATGCCTTAGCTTCTACCCTTCTCCCAAGATTCTGAAAACGAATGTGCTGGAGGACAAACCTATGTGGTTTGTCACCTGCTGTAGGTCATTAGTTTTTATCCTCTTATGTGTCATTTTCCAGACCATGCGCAGGCGCGTGCTTTCCTTCCTTTGTTGCTTTGTTTTTTTCCCCTTCAAACGGATTATCATTTTAGGCATGATAACATGAAGAAAATGATCACTTATGATGTGGGGGTCATAATGATGCTTTCAGGCTGTTGAGGGAAATGGTGCTGAGCAGATAATTAGTGGGTCAAATGAAGTTCTGGGACCGTGTTGGGCAGTCGCAACATCTGGTGTGCTTGTTCGGGAACAACTTTTTAATGTATCCATATGTCATTATAACCGTTTAAAGTTGCTCAGCCATGGGGAATTTTCTAAAAGGTTCAGTGGAACTTCAGACATTGCATCCCTAGAGGTGGCTGCACCCATTCTCATAATAGGCATGGTAAGGAGACCCCTGGAGATGTCATCTTCATGATAAACCGAGGTGATGAGGTATGCATGGCCCATCAACATGACTGACTGGTGATATAAAATCATGATACACTGATCAATCTCTGAGGACTTGTCAAATAAGGGGCTCACAGTCACTGACCTTGTTCTAATCACCTCTAAGGGGGTGTATGGGTTCGTCCGGACCAGGCAACCTGGATCCCTCTTCTTCAGCACACTGGTTGGTTGCCTTATAATTGTGATGGCAAAGGGGAAGCCTCGTCCCTCATTTGGTCCTCGCTGAAGATTGGATAACCTGAGTGCTATTAATTCCGTTCGTCATCCGAAGGAAAGGTCACAAATGACAGAATAGAAGACAAACGTAAATTTGACCGAAGAGCATGAGTTTAAGATGATGACTAAAAAGAATATAATTTTTTTTGCTGACAAGATTTGGTCATTAATAACTCACAAGCTCGTGAGTTTGAGTCCTATTTCTGGTATGAGTACCTTATTTGTAGGCGAATTATATCTATCTGTATCTGAAAGCATATCCTACCGTAATGAGTTTTTGGAATCTAACTCATTTAAATTTTTATTAAAAAATATATATATAATTTTCTTTTATTTGTGGCAGGAAAATTGTCCAGAACCACAACAGGAATATTATCAGGGTTATCTTCAAAAGAAAAAGACATTAAAATACCCTCAAAAATATTAAAGGACAAATAAGAGTAGGCAAATTTCAAAATCCCAGATCAAACCTCTGATACTATTTTGGAATTTTCAAATCTTGTAAAATTACACAAATACCCTTTACAATTTTTTTACTATTTTTTTTTAAATACTACCACTTCAACACTTCCGACTGCCAGTGCCGGTGGCTAGCCTCCGGAGTTCCGGTGACTACTCTTTCTTATGTATTGACTGCTCTTTTTAAACTATTAACTATATTTGTTTTTAAAATTCGAATGATTACGCTTGTTTAGCTACTAACTACTCTAGTATTACGATTGACTACTTTTGTTTTTAAAATTTTGGTGACTACTCTTATTTAGCTATTGGAGATCTAATATTAAATGTTGTTGGAGATCTAATAATTACTTTTTGTTTAGTTATTTACTACTTTTGTGTAGTCAATATAACTATATAAAAGTAGTTACCAAAACTTTGAAAACAAAAATAGTCAATTGTTAAATTAGAGTAGTCAATAGCTATATGAAAGTAATCACCGAGTGTAAGGACAATGTTGTTATTTCACAAGATTTGAAAATTCCAAAACAGTACCAGGGATCTGATTTGAAATTTTAAAATTTACCTACCCTCATTTGTTTTTTAGTATTTTTGAGGATATTTTAGTTTTTTTTTTTTTCCATCTTCAATCCAATTCAACTTGTTCGTATAACAAAATTTTGTTAGCGTGAAAACATTATTGTTAGAGTTAGAATAGTGCTCTATTATATGATAAGATTGGGCCGGTGTCAGCCCAAGCCCATTGTTGAGAGTTGTCGCATCTAGTTGGTTTGAGTCTGTACAGTATAAATATGACATTTGCTGTCAATAGTCTTTGGTTATGCGCTGCCTCTCGAGCTCCACTTACCAAACTTTACAATTATATATAATTGAGATGCAGTTATTTTTGTAACTAAATCCTGTATTTTAAAATTGTTACATCAGATAATCGATTAGAATCTTGATGAGTAATAATCAATTCTAATCTAATCTCCAATATGTCATTTCGAGAGTTCAATTAAATCATTCTCTTAATTGAGGAAAAAATAAAGAAATCATTAATTGGGATTTAGGGTCTTTATAATTCTAAGCAACCTCAATTACAATTGCAATCTACAATAATATACATCGGTATTCTCTAAATATTGGTATCAATTTTACAATTTATTTGAAGGAATGTTAAAAGATAATTCTTTATTAAATCCGAACTGTGAGTATACTATTTGATTATTTTGATTTTAATTACTTATAATGTTTTATCTATAATAAAATACATTCTAATTTGAAAGAACTACAACATATGATTTACTCATTAAAATATGAAAATGGACGGTTGTTTATGTTTATGAATTTGTAGATTATTATGTCCTAAGAAAACCTCCGAAAAATGAAATTTCCACATTTACTAACTTAAAAATTTAAAAATTAAACACCCAATCATATTGACTATAACCGTAAATATCTGTTGGTACTAGATATACCTATCATAGTATGGGCGAGTTGCGAGTTCAAAAATTAGGAGTTTCTGTATTTTCCTTGCTTTCAGTCTGGAGATGCGTAAAATCTAGATACGTACGTTAGGAAGGTGTAGTACGTAAGAGAGGAAGGAAGATGGTAAAATTAGAAGTAGCGGGAGAACAGAATACGCGTAAATATAGGGAAGTAGAGGCAAATAAAGGGTTGCTTGTATTAATTATTGGAGGAGGAGATGGGATTAAGCGTGCACGCATTGTTTTGTTTGAATGGTCAGCATGAGTGGGCAAATGTGAGGCGTAGGGTTGCCGACATTCAAGAACCCATACTGTTTCTTGGCCTTTATTATTGATTTGCTCTCACCAACTCAGCATCGGGCGTGAGCCATCCCAAGTTTAATTTACAATGCAGTTCATCAGATTCTGGATGAGGGTTTCAGCAAACATACATTATTGGTTGGAGGCTCTTTCATGGATTTTAATGAACAGTTTCGTGTTTTTGTTCCCTCAGAGGTCGTCCTAACATGTACGCTACAGATTATTGCTCAAATTGAAGCAAAGCATTTCCAGACTCTTGCCACCATATGCATCCAATTCGCAGGAATATATATAATCCAGTACAGTGCTCAGCACAAGAGACCTTGTAAGACTACAACCTTACATTCAGTTAATTAGTTTCTCTTCAACTGGAAGGATTTCTCCATCACATCCCTGTCGCCACATGTATGTATATATATAAGCTCACGCATGTATGCAGCACTCTCCATTTCATTGTCTCTCTTTTCAAGGAATTACTAGTTGATCGAACAACATTTATTTCATCATGAAGAAACGGCTAAACTAATATTTATATATGTACATATATACTCTTCCGCTCATTAATATAGGATTCAATTATTGAATTGATTTTGATCATAAATATAAGATCTATTTCTCATATTTATTAATTTTTCCTGAATTACCCTCATAGATACTCTCTCAATCATAATCAAGTAAAAAAAAGAGGAAAGATATTAAGAAAGATGATTATAGTATTTTAGGAAAAATACGTCATATTTCTTAAAATTAACTAACTTACCTAACTTTCTTAATCTAATTAAATTAGTTAAATACGTTTTATATTAAGGACCGGAAGAGTATAAACCCACGGAACTTCTGAACTGATAACACAAGTATATGAAATTTTATAAAATTGAATCCCAAGTCATCAGAGAATCCACGGATAAGTTATAACTCGGAAGATTAAATTTAGTTTTAAGAATGAGAGGAGGGGTGATGGCATTGGTAAAGAAAGGGGAAGAGTTGATCTGATGGTTGGTTGAGCGAGGGAGGTTGGGGCAACGTCAACATCTCATTTGTGTTCAATTAATTCGTTCAGTGCTTGTTTAATTTAACAAAGCATGATTCAGCCCTTCTACTGCGTGTAATTCCATGTATGGCAAGGAAAGGGAAAGGCATAAAGATAAATAATGAAACAAAGGGTTTTGGATGTTTTGAAAGAGAAGGGAAAGGGATGGAAGTGCTCTTGGGAATTGGGAACGCATTGATGCATTATTCCCCAAAGAGCAAACAGCATTATCCCATCTACTCTCTATAGCCCTCCCTTTTCCTACATAGCTACTGCCTCCCCTCCCCCATCTCACTCTCATCAATCTCACTATGCATTATATTACTCTTCATCATTCATTTTCTTAGAAAGCACTATATAAGCAAAAATAATTATGTTTCGCCCAATTGGAAAATTTAGTTATTTCTCTTAATTATTATGTATGAAATTGATTCTTTTCGGAAATTTCCCTTTAGTAATCATTTATTGTATTAATTCTAACTACTCTTGTTTTGTAATTTTAAATGAGGGGCACAATTAGAAGCCTGCATTAATCACACTTAAAATTGCGTAACTTTTGCTTATAATTAAGGCCACGAAAATTTGGGAGTTTTTGCTTATCTAATTGAGACTAGAGGGAGTATCACAATATCATACAGCTAGCGCGATTGGATTAAAATCATGCACTCTATCTATCTTTTTTCGTAAGAGCCGGCTGAGATTCATGGATATCAAATAGTAGGCAAAGTTAGTTAATGTCTTAAAAATTTTAGTTTCTTTCTAATTCCAACCTCCATTAAATAATATGGTTTCAGGAATTAAAGTTCGATAAATCATTTACTATAAGGATATATCAGGAAGCATATTCTAATTTTTCGTAGAACTATGAAAATGCTCTTACGAAAAAAAGACACGCTCTATACCTCTTTAAGCTGACTCTTGTGAAAAAAGAGCAAGAGACCACAAATTCTTTTGTTGCACAACTTGGGGATGGGCTTTCTATAAATGTATTAGGTATCAATAGTAATTTAAAAGCTAGCTCTGTAACCAATATGAGTTCTTGAACGGATGGATAAAACACACATTTAGGTTTCTATAGTTTTTGCTTTCGGCATGCTTTCAGAAGGTAAAAGGAAATTTTCGGGGTGATGACGTGATAACGAATTCTCATAAAAGAAATCCAAGAAAGTAATGCGTGATTTACTAGAAAACGCCAGAACCAGCCAAATGATCAGATTGATGATGGAGATTTTAGAATTGCTGAATACTACTAGCAGTAATTCAGACTGTCCGTTTGAGCGAAATCAGCATGCCACTTTGGCAACCTGCAGGCTCAGACAACGAAGTTCTCTTCATAGGGTTCTGAGAAATAAGAAATTGTATAAAGTGATACGCATGGCTACTTTCTGGGAATCACAATCAGGTTTACGTACAAATTTGGGATATGATGCAACGATCCTTAACGAAATCGATGATGACTTTTAGAAAATCTCAGCTTACAACACTGAAGCTAAGCTTTTCATCAAAAGCTCCTATATGATCATTTCTAAAAAAACATTTTTTCCAATATCTTATAGACGTCCCTAAGTGTCATTTTTCGGTTAGAAATACTTTGGTTGAGTGAGAGGGGGACGTATTAAAAAGGAACAAAGTGAGAGAGTTGATTAACGGTAAATTCAGTGAGCGGCAGTGGCACTGCTTCCAAAGCTTATGATGAAGAATACGAGATTGTGTGGACAAACAGATCTGCCAATCGTTTTGAAGCCACGCGCAAATTAAAGTGGGAAATGGAGCACATATGATATTATTGTGATTATTGAGAGCTCTTTTAATTTCATTTGCTGAGTGTTGAGATGATCAGCGGTCTTGAGCATCACCTGATGAATTAATTATTACCCCTAATTCCTATTAAACATGTCAGAACAATTTACACACTCCATGCGCACAGGTGTTTCGTTGATTACCTCCGTCTGGGCAATCATTTACAACGAGAAGTCGTCCCTCCAAAGTTCCCAAAATATCATGCCCTTACCATGCATGCCCCTCAATGCAACATTGCACAACACGTGCTTAGCTTCAACATTGGCTACATTGTTAAAAGTGAATCATCCATCCATTGGCAGGAAATCTTCCATAGATAGCACTAGATGTGGCGTATAAAAATTGTCCATCAAACCAAGCCTCCAGGGTATTCCCTTGTCTTTCTTTTCTCAAACTCCTGGTTTGATTTGTATTCATGTTTAAAAAATTATTATATACATATAGGTTACTAGCCATACCCACAGATAACTTCCCATCAAGGGGATAGGAATATTAAAGAAGTGAGATGTTCCCTTGTCTTCTTGCTCCTAGTTATATAAGCCCCTTCTGCATGTGAAAGGATAAAAATTGCACAAAGGGAAGATTTTAATCTGTCTATTTCCTACGGTCTGTATGAACTCTTAGATCGAAAGGCAACCCCTCTAACAAATTGAGGATGGTGATTGTTAAAGTGACAGAGAGGCGATGAGAAGTGGAAGACTGAAAATTGTGAATCTCTCAAACCCCTCTCCCTCCGTTTTTCAAATTGGCAAGCTCATCGCTTTATCTGTCGCACTGTAGGGCAACTGCAACGTGCCACCACACAGTGGCGTTGAACATCTGTATGCATATATGTGAACACATGCATGCATGTCTGACTTCAATTTCTCAAACATTTTTATTAACCCATTAAAACCATTCATTTAGAATGTTTCTCAGAAGATAAACCTAACCCCAATGATTTGCACCAAGTGGAAGGTAACACACCCTAAACCAAGAAGGATGTCTTCAAGAAATTTTTAACATTTTCCTGTCAGAAATTCATGCTGGCCATCCGTCATATCATATACAAGTGCAGGTACCATGATGCTCTCCACATTCAAGAGCATTATCCCCGTAGCATAAATAGCTGCGTTCAAAGAAAAGGGCGCGCACACACACAGACCCATATGGTGCTATTATATCTGGTCATTTTCATTTCTAAAGTAGTTTTCAGAATATATTATTTGATTAGTTTAGCCAAAATAAAAATAAATAAAAACACATGAAAGCAAGTTATCACAAAATATTGTGTGGTTCACAATATCATAGCTTTCACTTTTATGCTAGCAAGTTATCACCAGATTCTGTACGTCTATAAAAGTTAAAAGAAAGGGTGCCAAGCCAATTAATTTATTTTCGCACGCATATATGTATCATAAAAATTACTGCTCGCAGAGAATAAAGTACTGAACTATACATGAGGATGAGAATGCAAGCCGCGCCAACTTGCTTGGGAAATTTCTGGTATCTTACAAGTAGCAAAAGCCTTTCCCCTCCCACTTCTGCATAGTTTTCTTGGACTTTTCTTTCTGACCTGGAGTTTTCTTGGACTAGGTTCAAGAAAATCTCACAGAAGTGCGGGTGTGTATGTGTGAGATAATGTGTATACCATATATATGCTGTACACTTTACTCAGGTATAATGCAGTGTTGCCCTATATACGCATACTTGGCTGCATGTGAATTAAATATGAGATAGCTAGCACTGAGCAAATTGATCACCAATCTTTCCCGTTTCTTAGTGAACGTAACATCTATGTCTGCATAGTTTTATTGAGTAATAATGGAACCACAGTATTTCACATGGGAATAGGGGGAGAGATTTTCACCTTTTAAACTTGAAAGCTGCTCCTACATCGTTGAGAGGCCATAACCAAGTATGAAAAGAGGAAACTTCTCTGTGGGTTTCTTCCACATAGGGATAACGGGGAAAATGCAGCTTCCAAGTCGAGAAGGCGTGAAGAAAACTAAAGACGAGTGACGCACTTACACTCACCACACATATTACAAGTAGATGGATTATATAACTGAACCAAGCATTGAAATTTGCATTGAAAAAATGGTCTACAATACTTTCTCTACTTAATTTTGACCTGATTCTCTTTTTTCTTTTTATCTCTCCTGCTACTTATACGGGTGTCAAATTTTACAACGACAGTAATATCCAACAGCGAGAAGAAGCTGGATGCACTATTAACCTTTTTCATGTTCCTATTTATGAAGATCTCGAGGGAAGAATTGCGTACCAATACCTTCAGCCATGATGGTGTTAAGTGGAGCTGGATACAAAGAAGAAGGATCCCCAAGCGCCCCACCCGGCGGAACCATGGCACCACCACCCATTGAGCTCGCGGGTAAAACAGACGCACCGCTGGCGGCACCGGCAATGAGGTTCAATGGTTGAACTCCACCTACGCCAGCGGGGGCGCTCACATCTCCAGCTGTGTAGTTATATTCAGGACCCTGGTCGTACAGAATTCCTTTGAACACATGCCCTCCTATGTTCACTGCCGTTTGGTATGCAAATTGTTCGTCCGCATCGTCAATGGAGTTCACCCGCACACATCGGAAATCCGCAGGCGAGCTTACCACTGCAGGAAAATCCCGGTGCTCTAAGCCATTTTTAGAATTTTGTTGCATAGAAAACCACCAAAAGGTAAAAGCCGTTGATTAGTTAGCAGAATATGAAAGATTATTAAATGACGACAAATTGAAAGAAAAAAAAACACAACAACACAGGTTGAGAAAGGGATGAGAAAGAGTGAGAGAGAGAGAGACAGAGAGAATGATCGAAGAAAGTGGAGCAACAGTTTCTTCCCTGTGAATCAACTCGTCAGGGCTACTAAATAACAGTGTCTGCTGGGGAAAAGGGAAAAAGAAAAAGATGAAGAATAGGGTGGATTGAGATGAGATTTGGTTTCACACGCAACCGATATGGTAGGGGAGAATAAGCGGATAATACATCCAAACCTTTCTCATCATCTCACTCTCAACCATCTTTTCCGCAGGAGTCAAAAAAGAAACAAGGGCATGCTAAGATATGTACCTGTTTCGCGGTGTCTTCTGGGAAGAGTGTCCGGGTGAAGTTGGAGTTGGTGTTGCTGTTGGCGCTCGCGACGCTTAGGAGCAGGAACCCAAGTGCTTTTGATGTGTGTTTGGCAATGGAAGCCTCTGCTTTTACAGCAAGTCCTGCACCTCATGTGGGGGCAATCCTTCTTGGCTTTGTTCCCGCAATCTTGGCAGCTTATTCCTCCTCGACCTCTCATAGTCGTCATCATCCCTGAGGATCTCGACGAGGACGGCGGATCATCGTAGCTCCTGCTCGCCCCGTACACATCTTGTTCCGATGGCCTTGTTCCCGGCATGAACTGCTCCTGTTGCTGGTTCCATAGCTCCAACCCTCTGTACGACGACACATCCTCGTTCTTGTACCAGTATAGGGTCTCGGGCGGAGGGAATTCCGTGGTTGGGTTATGATGCCCTTGTGCTTCTTCTTGTTGTTGTTGGTTGGTTCCTCTACCTCTACCTCTATCTCCACCGCCTAGTGAGAATAAACCCGCCATTGATTTGCCACCTCTAAGCCTGACCCGCCACTCAATTGTGAGTGACAATCCATATCAGAGAGCTCGAACTCTGTGGTTAGATGAATGAAATATACGAGCGGAAAAAACCCAAATCGAAAACAATTGGTTGGATCGAATCGGGGGTGTGAGAAAAGGACAACCTATTGTAAATGCTGTTGAAACTCCAGCATACTTTTTTTGGTTGCACCGTCCTTGCGCGCTCTCTCTCTTCCCCCCTTCCTCCCCCCACAGGGTCCTGATTATTTTGTTGGAGGACAAGGAATAGAATTGAAGAGGGAATTAAGGAGGCGGGTGTTGGGAAGCGTTGATGATGATGGGGCCTTGAAAGAAAGAAAGAATAAAAGAAGAAACAGAAGAAAATTACAAAGAGGGAAACAGGCGTAGCTGCAACTGCAACTGCGACTGCGACTGCGACGCCGCCATACCCTTCTGTTCCTCTCTGCAAACTCTGCTGCAGCTCCTTCAACTTAATTTAAGTCCCGAAATCAAACCCTCCCATTCTCTTTCTCTTTCTGATTCCTCAGCCACACACAGTTTCTGAGCTTTTCCTTTTTCTTTTCCTTTGTTTTTTTTTGTTTTTTTGTTTTCCTTTTGGATGTGTCTAGTTTCTGAGCCGTTTTCCTTTGTATCTGTAACCCTCTCTGCCTTGTTTCTTGTTAACTCCATGACAAAAACTTTTCTCCCCCATTAGTAATCCATTCTGGACCCTTTATCTCATCTCAATTCTCTCATCCTACGGTGCACAACAATCCTACGTGTCAAAGGAACAGCTTTCTGCGTCCTCGTCCTTTCCACCGGAAAACCCGCTGCTTTTCGTGACATATTGCCCCTTCCTTTTTTCCCCATTTTTCTTTAAATTTATATTCCTTCCCCTCACAAAAATTAAAACATTCAAATATTAAAATATATTAGCTATATTTTTTGAAAAAAGTATAAAAACTTGGCTATAAAGAATCTAGTTTAACTAGTAAAAATGTTTCGTTAGTCAGAGGGGATGTGGCATAATAGAAGCTTAAAACTCGAATCTTTTTATGTCAATAAAAATTGTTTATCTGAAATTTGCAAAATAAAAGCTATGTAATATGTTCTTTTTCTTAGTTTATTCTCCTTTGCGCTTTCCATTTAATAATGCCAATAATGAAAAACCGTAGATAATGAATGTCATAATCAAGCAATTTCTATATTTTTTTTATATAATTCAGAGTATTTTGAGTCATTTTGGGTGCTTAATTAATTTTTATCAGATCAAAAGCATTAAGATTAAATTTCTCTCTATCAGTATGTTTATCAAAATTTAAATTTACATTCTTTTTCCTATAAAAATAAAACTACTTATCATCTCAACAAATCAACGGCTTATTCTCAATCAAATAGAGGCATTGAAGCCATGCTTGAATCAAATAATTTCTTTATTTCATTATATTCAGCAATACCAAATAGATTCCTAGTAATAATTCTAAAAAATATGAATAATTAATAGTAAATTAGTAATTTTAATTTTAAAATTTAACATGTTTATGTTTTATTCCCATAACTAAAATATCATGCTCAATAAATAAAACTAAAATACGATAAAATATGGATGTTGTTGTGTAATTTTGATTGCGCGTACATCATCAGCAAAAAGTTTTAAGAGAGCGGCACTGTCTATGGTCAACTTTAATGAGTAACGCTGTTTCAAAAAAAAAAAAGAACAAAAAAGGGGGAAAACTATAACAAGCTAAGACCCCTTTTGGTTTAGCGGAAAGATTTCAAATGAAATTTAGGCAATTAAGGATTGAGAGGAGAACGGAAAGGCCTGAAAAAATATGGTTAATTATGCTTAATAATAGAATGTACTCCTATACAGGGCTGCACAATCGACATATTAGGTCAGACTAAAGCCTAACCCGAAGTTTAGTCTGATTTTTGGTCAGACTGGGTTTGACAATTTGTAGTTTGGTCCAGTCTAGTGGTGACCCGAAGTGAAAATACATAAAAATTTCTAAAAATATTAAAAAAAATAAAAGTAACATGTAAATTAGAAATTATTAAAAAAATAAAAAAAATTCACTTAAACTGGACCAGACCAGCCCAGATGATTTGATCACTCGGTCCAAAACCCAATCTAACCTAACCAACTAGTTCGTTCAGCCTGGTCTAATTTTATTATATAATTTATTTAGACTGAATTGGATAGGACTAGACCATTATGGGTTGAAGTAGAGTATACCGGACTATCGAGTTTTTGTACACTCTTACAAATGGAAGGCATAAAAAGTTGTCGCCATAATTATATACTAGTCAACTAAAATGTATGAATACTTGGATTTGTGGTTCTCGTATGGCTGAATTAAATTTCGAGGAATATAAATGTAATATATTTATCAAAGGGACTCAAGAAGTGGGAGACGCTTATGATTATTAAATTATTATTATTATGGCAATATAATGGAGATGGTGGCCTTGTAGCATCGGCGCTTGGCCCCCTTACCTTTTCGTTGGATTTCGATCCGTACGTACGATGTCTATATTTATTATTAAATTTACTCGATTTCAATTTGTTTTGTTTCAATTCGATTCTGTTTATGCTTGACGAAACTAGTTCTACTTTTTAGAACTTTCTCAGAACTCTTGGATACAGAATCCATGGAAATATGGAAACATAATATTTATATGATCAATACAATAAAAAATAGAGGTTGCGTGAATAAATTTATTGTTCATTTCCACTTATGAATCAAACATCGTCTAAATGTTTGGGTTAGATTAGATGAAAGGAAATGAAAAGGTTGATGAGAGAGAGTTTTATTATTATTATTTTTTTTTTGTTACAAGATAGTTTTATTTTATTTCAAGTTACAGATTTAAGAACTCCCAAATGAGAAGCCATATCATGTTGAAAAATAAAAAAGTGGCTATATCCAACTTCATTCTCAGTTGCTATTGGGTCTTGTAAACATCATTATATGAATGCACATTATCTCAGTTGCCCCCTTCGTTTCCTTTATAAGCGAGATTAAAGGTCTTATTTATAAGAAATATTATTATTTTTTTTTATCTGAATGTACATTTTATCTCTAATTAATTATCACGTAGACAAAGGTATTAATTTTAATCTCATTTTCAGGTTATTATCATAATTATTGATTCTTCTATTTCATTTTTTTAGGGATTAGTAATCATATTGCAGTTAACTTATGATTTTTATGTCCTCCATCTCATATTGAAGTTATTTTATAAGATTTCATAATTAGATCCCGCTAGAAAAACATTTGGTTTGGCAGGAAAAGAATTATTGAATTAATTAATATACTTCTCTAGTTTTATTTATAAGGTAGAAAAAAAAGAAATTTTTTAGTTTTATTTATAAAGCAGAGAGAGAAATTTTTTATATAAATGTATAATTTTATCATTTATTTATTATTATATTGACTTTATTTATATGAGGTATGATCTACATTAAATAAGAATAAAATTAAAAAATTGTTGAATTTTAAAAAAGACTTAATAAAATTTAAGATTTTTTTTAATTTGTGTAAAAAAATATTAAAAGTAACTTATAATCAGGGTTAAAAGTGTATGCTACTTCGTTCAATCTTGATTTTCCGAGCTAATTCTTCCGTTCTATATCTGTTGCTATCTTTTAGACCTTTTGTTTTGTTTCAAAACATACATCGTTTTAAAAGCACAAAGCCGAGTAACTTTTCCCCTTGCTAATGCGACATTTATATATTGCCATTTAATAATATAACTATATCTTTCTCATGACATTTTGTTTAATTTCACCTATAATCTTTCTCTCTCTATCTTTTTGTGTAATTTTTTTCCTTTTACTCACTAATTTATTTTGTAATATAAATTATACTACAAAAGAGATTTTATATTAAAAATCGAAGAGCATATTTTGCACTAATTGAAGACTTCCTAATCTGATCTATGCGCACAACTTAAACAGCAGTGTTTTGTTTAAGGCTACGGTATTTTTTCCCCCTCAACGAAACCATAGAATCTATGTGACTTATTATTATTTTTTTTTCAGATAAGAGAAAAAAAATGATTAGGACATGGGATAAGGAATCCATAGGGTAGAGAACAACAAGAGAGGGTGAAAAGTAAATGAGGAGGGAGAGTGGCGACTTGAAATAATTGTGCGAGGGTGCGTGATCCTCGAGCCGTGTGTTTGTTCCCATAGTTGACTACCCTGCAACCAAAACCCAGACACTATCCTCTTTTCTTTTCTACTTTTGGCCTCTAAACCAACATTCTATGCGAGCCTTGTGAATCAAAAACAATAGTACACTGGCGTTATTTTGGCCTCTAAACCCAGATTGGCCTCTCCTTTTTGGCCTGTGCGCTCCCTTCTTTTCTACTGGTGTGGTTGCGACGTAGAACTTTGTGAGAGCGGAGATGGTAAAAGATGATGCTTCAAATCCCAAAGTTAACGAACCCTCCTCTTATCTTATTCAAGTAAATCCTGGCGTCATGGAACAGCCATGCTCCTGCTGCGTGCATGGATGGCTTCATGGACTCATCAGAAGCAAGGAGAGAGAGCACAAGCTAGAAAAGTGGTGCCCTAATATTGTGGAAGCTAGCTAGCCAAGGGGTGAACTGAGCATGAATCATAAATGGAATGGAATCCAAACAAAAGAGGATGCTTGCTGGGCTTCGGAAGAAGCAAAGAAAGAGACGCGAGAGGGCCGTGTCAGAGCCATAAATGAGGGAACAGCCCCGTCAGGCATGTGAGTCGAGGACTATATAAGCAGAAACTCACAGAAAAGGAATATGTCTAATATAAAATATTTTCCTCCTAGCCAGATTGTTTTTTCCTCTTCCTCTCCTTTCTCACCTTCTCTCTTTTATAGATTAGTAGAGTACTGTTAAACCCATAAACTTGATGAGAGTATGTGAGCTTGGTTTGGTTGGATGGTAAAAGCAGTGTGGGAAGGATAGAGCAGTAACAGAGTGAGGAGAAGGAGATCGAGTCAGATATGGAGAGAGTGTGAGGTCCCACCATTAAATTGGGTGGTGTGTGTTTTAAATCTTTTCATTATGTTTGGTATTCTTAATCTCATCAACGTAGAGCTGTCTGTGGAGCAGGACCATCCCATCTAGCTCTCGTTTAGCTTCCTAGCCCTCCCTTTTCACTGTTCCTATTCCATATATATCCCCATCCCTCTTTCTTTACCTTCCTCCTCCATCCATTCACTACGCTACCCTTTCCCATTTGGCTGTCTACTTAACCCATTTGTGTAGATGCGGAACGGTTAACGGTCAATTGAGTTCACTCGTAAAAGTGTATGACTGGGCATCAAGTTCACATGCTGTACTAATTACAGCTTCATGGTTAGCCTCAGTGAAAAAAACGCAAATCATGAAGCTGCAGTGGCAG